AATCGTAGATGGACAAAAGTAATGTGTTCGACCACTGTTGTCGAATTTGAGTTAGAGTTGCAAACTATGAAACACACATGGAGAGCATCGAACCCACCACTTGTAAAATACGTTGAGGAGCAATGGTTGGTCCACAAGGAGAAATTCGTATGAGTTTGGACGAATTTGGTGATGCATTTCGGCAACATCAACACATGTAGAGTAGAGAGCCAACATTCTGTGCTTAAACAATGGTTCAAGTGTTCTACAGGAGCGTTAGACACTATTTTTCGCCGTGTGCATAACAACATTGAGGGTATGTTGATTGAGATTCGTCACCAGTTAGAGGACTCGAGACGGCGAATGGGGTCGCAGCACAACGTCATGCCTTTGCTTCATCTTAATGACTTTATGTCATTTTGAGGTCTTGATATTTTACAGGAGGAGTTGAGGAGGATGAGAGAGTTATCTGATGACGTGTTTGATAGGTGTGGGTGTGCAATGCTGACAACGCACAGTCTCCCATGTGCGTGCACCATGTGGACAAAAATTTGTGCTCGGACTAGGTTGTATTTGGATCAGGTCCATCCATTTTGGAAGACCTTAGTGATCGGTGATGGCGTTGACATTCCTGTTTTTGCTGAGGAGTCAGAGCAGGATGCATCCTTGTTTAGATCTTTGGTGGACGAGGTCGTAGATCGTGATCCGAGCTTTGTGCGGGGTGTCAGTCGGGTCCTATTTGAGGAGCTACACCAAGATTTGACATATTTTACTGATCTAGAGATCAACGAGACTGCAAGGGGTCGGCCACCGACAGGTCAGTGTTCTACGTCTACTAGGCGTAATCGGAGCAGATTTGAGCATATTTTGGGTTCTCGTGGCCGTCGAGGTGGTCTTAGGGGTGGTCGTCACGGTGGTCGTAGGCCACCCATTTTTACACCTTCGGGTTCATTATTATTATTATTATTATTATTGTTGTTGTTGTTGTTGTTGTATGCTTTCGTTCTTACGAGGGTGGAGTGATCCGCTTGGTGATGGGAACTGCGGATTTCGATGTGTTGCAGATTTCTTCATAGGTGACCAGAATGAATGGGTGTTAGCTCGACATTCGATTGCAAATGAGGTTGCTGCTCATCGCGACATTTATTCTCAAGTGTACACTGCTGGACAGTTAGATGGAGCAATAAACCGTATCACATGGACAGGAGGGAGAAGCGGCATGGATCATTGGATGATTGCTATTGATGACTTGTTTCTGGTTGCCAACTTTTATAATGCCGCTGTTATGTGTTTTGGTGTTGGTAGGGACGGTCGTAATGTCTACCCATGCCTCACTGTGCTACCTTGGACTGCTCCATCAACTGCCACTGATTCATATAGGGAGTTTTGCATACTATCATTAGGGTGGCATTTCGTGCGATTAGAGTTCGAAGATAATTTCCCAGTTCTTTCTATTGCTACTACTTGGTTCCCTATACGTGATGATACCGTTATAGGTTGGAAGGACTGATGTCAACATAGGCGTGCTTCATGGCAAAATCTATCTGGTAGTGAATGACGATGTTAAGACATGTATTGTATTGCTATTAACTATTTTACTCCAAATCTAAGACATGAAATATTTTAGTAACTCTTAAAACATTGAACTAAATCTAATAATTATTAAAACAAAATCTAATAGCTTATATAACCAAATCTAATAAGACATTGAACTGAATATAATATTTATTAAAACCAAATCTAATAGCTAATATAACCAAATCTAATAACTCTTAAAACATTAAACAGAATTTAATATTTATTAAAACCAAATCTAATAGCTAATATAACCAAATCTAATAACTCTTACAACATTAAACTGAATCTAATATTTATTAAAACCAAATATAATAATTTAATAAACATATCAATCTTCTAACCTGGCATTCCACTCCATGATTGCTTCTTGCACCTCGATCACCGTGGGGGTGATGTTGCCTCCCTTCTCAGCTATGAACTTGCGCAACGGAGACATGAATTTTTGCACCCACTGCACAAATGAAATTAAATTGAGGAAGTCAAATTAAAGTAAAATAATTGAATAAATGAGTAATGAAATAAATAAGAAAAATAAAATAAACTTACGTAATCCACGTTTGTCCTATTGGGTCGAGGTGGTGGGCGAAGCACTTCATCAGGACTCATAAGACATATATGTGAGTATGTATAGAACCACTCCAAGTAATCATCAGAACAAGTAGGCTCCTCCTCCAACAAAGGGAAATATATATAGTCCGAGAAGGGTATACGATAAGTCCCAAAGTGAAATCTGTCCCAGAACTGAGGTGCACCTGAGGAGGTAACCACGTAACTCCGTGTCTCATACACCGACCGGTTCGCATAATCAGGTCTAAAAATGGGAGGAGGAATCTGCTGAACGTATCCAAGCTGTCGCACAACTTTGTCAGGGTAGTATGGCTCAACAATGTCTCGATACTGTATCCAACCCAAGGTACGTAGTCCTCGGGACCGATTGAGCTGGAGTCAGAGTGTAGGGCCTCTAATTAACCTACAAGCAATTACAACAAAACAATAACGAAGCGTTAATAACTAGTAAGTGCGAAAACAACTAATTTCCAATAAATAATTAGCGTCAAATATACCTCATGATATGTCATCTGATCAAGGCGTCTACGAAAAGAAACTAAAGGATGGTAGTCCCTCTCTAGTGCCTGCGTGTCCTACATGGCGGCCCGAGCATAATTCAGTGATATGGCTAAACAGCCCTGAATAGGTCGAAATGCGGGAAAATACTCGTAAATCCAAGACTGTAGCAACTTCAAACACCCGGCAATCTGTTTGCAATTTATCCGTGAGGCAATGCCTAACTGCCGATACAGATAAGCAAGGGTAGCTGAACCCCATGAATAATGAGAAAGCTGAACATCCTCCTTCTTCACCTCTAAGATGCAAGAAGCAGGAAAACGACTACCACTCTTATTGACAAAGAGAGTGCTGCCAAGAACTAACATCAAGAAACCCTGCACGTGGATATCAGCGTCTCCCTTCTCTGCTAGGCACCTCTCAGCTATGGCCTGACATGACACCGCCCCGTTATCCCAAATGGCTCCCGGCTTGGCAACAAGAGTTGCTACTCCTACCCCCAAAATGTTCTGAAAGTCAACCCTCAAAGACGCACCATTGCTCCGCTCCACAACAGCAACACCCTCCACAGGTAACCCAAGTATGTACAGGACATCATGGAGCATAATAGTCATCTCGCCGAAAGGAAAGTGAAAAGTGTTTGTATCCGGCTGCCAGCGTTCTACAAACGCCAAAATCAGGGCCCAGTCAATGTGATGATGCATGATGTGAACTAGCCTACTCAGACCAGTACTATCTACTCGACTACGCACATCGTCCGCCATATCTTTGTACGTCTCCTGCAAACCTAGGCACCATTGAGTCCTAGAATGACACCTTAAAATCTGACGATCTTTGGCACCACTCCCCATCCAAATCTGAGTGGCAATGTGACCTGCGTAACTAGGAATGACACTACCATCCTTGGGACCACCAGGAATTTCACCCTGAACAAGCCACGTAGTATCATTCGACGCTCGGGCACCACGAGGTCTTCTAGTCTGGGAGCAACAGCTCCGGAACTCTGAAATCTACCATCAACACCTCTCCTAAAAGTAACCCCAGATGACACCTGGCCTTGCTCTCTACCTCGCCGACATTGGACATTTCTCGAACTCCCATCATCACCCATCAAAGTCGTAATTTGATCCTCGTGCCACTCCGCCTTATCCTCCTTGTCCTTCTCAAACTCATCTTCAACACACGCTTCCTCGGTTATAGGAACTGATGACCTTTGTCTTCTAGCCGAAGCAGTCACTACACGAGAATTAGTATGTCGCTCACCCGACCCATCAATACGATCAAACGTCATTTTGAGCCTATCCAACTGTCATAACCAAATCAACTAAATATTTGCAACCAATAATAATAATAATAATAATAATAATAATAATAATAATAATAATAATAATACCAAAAAAAAACAACAAAAACAATAATAATAATAATATTAATAATATTTTTTTTTAAATAAATGATATTAACAATAATAATCAAAATAAGAAATCATAATATTAATAATAATTATCACCTAACAATAATAACAATAACTTTAATAATAATAATAATAATCTAATCCTAAATCCAACAACATTAACATTACTAATAATTATAATTAATGTATAATATAAAAGCATAATTAAAATAAAAATTAAAAAACCCTAAAATAAAAATAAATAAATAAAAACAAAAAAAAAACAACAACAAATATGGTGGCCGGTAACCGATGGTGAAAACCGGTTGTCCGCTGTCGGTAACCGGACGCCAAATCCGATTGACTGCGCTGATAACTGGAGGTGAAAACCGATGGCTGGTAAATTTGGGCATTTTACTTCAAATGATGGCGGTTTTGATAAATTTGGAGGACGGTGTTTTTAACACCCCCAAAAATAATTAGCTGGATGGAATTCTACTTAACACACGTTTTTTGGTACATGGTGTCATAGAGCCTATAAAGATTTTTAAGTAAATAGGGCTTGATCCCAAACTCCCAAATTAACACTTGTAGCAATAGTTTCGTATAAGCTTGAATTAGCTTACACGGTCCAAATTTACGTAGTATACAGTACACCTTTTGGAAATTTCACTAGTTTGAGCTATTTGAGGTAATCTATAATTTCACACGCCCAAAACAAAGGAAATACAGTACAATACAAGTCAAAAGAAGCAAATAAAGATGTCAGGCCATAGAATTAATCAATAATTAGAAGATTTAGAGCATTACCATATTATTCGAGTTTAACCGTAGAGTTCTACTTATGAGGTTGGAATAAGGAAATACTACATACTCGTATAAAATAGAGATTTGTCCTTAACAGTTAAACACAAGGCAAATTATGATTGTAAATGCTGTATAGTTCTGCTTAATAGAAAATAGTAAGCCAAAAAGAAACAAAATCTTTTTCAAGGAGTTAGAAAAATTTGCCTATGCAACCAACCTTTCAGCCTACTAATATAGCAGAAATTTATTTACTTCACAATTGAATCGAGCCCAATTAATATTACAAGATACAAATGTCCTATGTTGATTTTTCCCCCCAATCCCTTTTCTAAAAAAAAAAAAAAAAAAAAAAAAAAAAAAAAAAAAAAAAAAAAACATCGCCTGTACTTTTTGCCCAAGCTTAATACTGAACAATTTACATACAGCAAAGTACAACCATTTACCTTAGTATTGGCTTTCCGACCTCCAGTCAGCGGCTCAGCACGGGAGGAAGGAAAAAAAAAAAAAAAAAAGCAAATCGTATCAGTGAAAAAAAAAAAAAAAAAAAAAACCAGCAACATGTTGAAACAATGCTTGCTTCAGTGCTTCACAATATACAAGCAACTAAGTAAGCTGCAGTAAAACCCATGGGTGATTATGCTTCGTATATCATCGGATTCTTCAGGCTGAAGATACTTGGCTAGTAACAGATTGTGACTGAAAGATATTTACTCTGCATTTTCAGGAGAAATCAAAAGATTAATAAGCATTTTCAAAAGACATGTATTAGGACCTTGTAAACTTCAAGGTTTTCATTATGCTGCTTTGCATAACTTACAATTATTCCCTTTGAACTCCAATATAGCAGTAAACATTAATGCAAAAACGAGTTATGCCTTGATTATTAAAGGTGTTACAAAGATAAAACTCCCTCTATTCTATAAAAGGACCATGGAACTTTTCTCAATCCAAAAGATTTGTCATTTAAAATATCAAAACACTATTAATTGCTGTTCGAAAAATTAGTGTACGTGTAGTTTCATATTTTGACGATTAGGTATAAAGGTCCAGCTTCAGACAACAAGCTCGTATTGCTGCTACTGTGTACAAAATGGAGAATTAGAAAATGTGGTTCTATTTATTTTTTTTGTTTGATAAAATAAAAGAAGAAGATACAATAGGTCCCCTCAATGAATAATTGGCTAAATGTATCCTATGAACATTAGTGCACCATTTTGGCTCGATAATCTCTGGTTGACATCCTCATGCATTTTGTAAACTTTTACCTGGGTCATAGGACCCCTAGCATATATTGCTATTGATATTCATCTAGACCTATCCATTTAGATTAAAAACAATAGATGGGAGATGTTTAACCATGCAATATCCACTCAATGGATCATGAAAGAATTGGGAAAAAAAAAAAAAAAAAAGAAGCTGAAACTCTTACCAAGAACTTTTACAGGATAATGAGATGCAGGGAAGCTTATGGCGCAAAAATGCAGTCATATCTACCAGAGACTAGCCTTGAAAATGGAGGGAAACTAGCTCTGAGCACATTCAAAGGGATGCAGCGTTCCTTCGGCAAAATCATGCATGCGAAACCTCTCCAACAGCTCAAGTGGCCTGTACAATAGAAAATATATAGGTTAAATTTTAGAACAATGTGATTACCTACATGACAACTTTACAAAATGATGTGGTGATCATATTCATCAGCAGGACATTAAAGGAAATGGCTTAAGTAAACAAACCAATGAGAGCTACAAAATCTGTAACGTCTGCAGAAAAATTCGCAACATGAGAGTACATAGCTATGACTCAGTTAATGGGGGATTAATCTTCCACCCTCGTTTACTTTTTCTCCAAGGGGGGGAAACAGACACCCCCCACCCCCCCAAAAAAAAAAAAAAAAAAAAAAAATTCATCACCCACACACAAAAAGGGCCGTAACAATTAGAAAGGCAATTATTTTCAAAAAAATTACAGCTTAAACCATGTCAAAGCTAGCCTATCTGGGCAACCCTCTGATTTCGAAGTAGACAAATTCGGCAATAGGCTGAGCAAAAACCAGCGGTAAAGCCTTAGGTTAGTATGGTTATAAAAGTCTTCACTTTATGGAATACAGAACTTTAGACTTTCATGTCCAATTCATTTAAAGCTCATATGGGGAAAAATCACAGGAACCTTCAAGTTTTATGAGTACAAATTAACCACAGACAAGGCAACTGGTCAAATCTTCTACGAGTACATTTTATGAGGGACTAGAATCACAGCATATAATTTGGATAGACCAAAACTCTATTCAACTTCTTTGCTTATCCTTAAGCTATAAATAAAAATAAAATATATACTTCGTAAAAGTTTTAGCAAATTAAAAGTTAATATAAAGTTCAATGCTCACTTTACAGCTGCAAAACACCCAAAGAAAACACTAGAATATCCCATGCAGCACATGAAAGGATAATGACATGAAAACAGTCATGGCCTAATTACTAAACAGGGTTTGAGGTTAACATAAGCACCTAAAAGTGGCAAGAGGTGACTAAGGAAACAAGACCAGTGTGCTACAGTCAACTAAAGGGTCCTTTGGCATCAAAAGAAATCAGGATTTTTATTGTAGCTCTCTAATTAATGTTTGTACTCGATAGCTTCACATGCCAAAGAACATAAATCTTACAGAATAGCTTCACGTGTCTGGCATAATCTGCGTTGATTGCCTTCCATCGCTTCCAAGACATTAGCTGCATCAGAACCTTCCGTATCAAGATTGGCTGAACCACCTGCCACCGATGGGGTGGGAGCACTCGGAGTCCAAATCTAGAACCATTTTTGCAAAATATCAAACAATCACTGAACTGCACACTTCCGCATAGTAAACAATAGGAAATGAGCAAAAAAAAAAAAAAAAATAGCTACATCATTAGGCCCTTCCTGCACTCACCTTTATTGTGTTATCAATTCCGCTAGTAGCCACAACTGAATCAAATGGATGGCACTGGACACAATTTACCACTAAAAAAGAAAGGAAGGGATGAGAAGTTCAATAAAGCATTAAGATTTTACCCTGATGAGGATAAACATCATCCTATGAAAAAAGCAGAATATGGAAAATTTACCAGCTTCATCTCCAACAAGCATTTTGACCAATCTGCCAGTTTTCTTTTCCCAAATATACCATTTGCCATCATCACTTCCACTGGCAATATAATCACCTGCAATTGATAATACCAAGTTACCAAAAGGGTATCGCTAGGTACATTATGAGCACCTTAAAGGAGCCCATTTAAGCAGCAGGATAATCATTCATTCACAAATGTTAGCAGTAAGACAGCAGAGGCATGTATAAGGGTTGAAAAAGGTACAAGGTTTAGGCCACATAGCACAGGTAACCAGAAAGACAAACCAATTGACTCATAGGCAAAGAACAGAGTGAATGCATCAGAGGAGAAAAAAGGGGAAGCACCAGAAAAAGTTCAAAACAACATCAATTTGAAATATAAAAATAAAATCTCAAAACAATACAAACTTGTCCAAAAGTAATTATTCATCATTTTATAAATTATGGGGCTATTCCTGCCTTCCTGACACACTACAAGAAGATCATCATACAGCTTAGGATTTTTACGAAATTACAATAAAGGGTTCATTTCATTGCTCCAGTCCTAGGATTGTTATGAGTAGATTGGGAGCTTCTGGAAAGAGTTTATGATACTTCTCTACCTTGTTCATTGACACTTTTGGGGTGATATCCTGAGATGTGTGTTTAACCCAGAATTTGTGGCAGAATTACAAGTCACAGCATTTAAAATTGCAACAAATGGATAGCAGCACTTCATAAACATGGCGATCATAATGCAAAGTTAGAGTTACTTTCAAAAAACAATTCAAAGTCTTAATTGTCCAAAGTAATACGCAGTATAAGTTAGGGGGGTTGCACAAAAAAAAAAAAAAAAAAAAAAAAAAGGGTAAGGCAATGTCATCCTCAATATATTTAAATAACACTCAGCAAAAATAAGTAGCCGAGGATAGCATTCTGTTTTACAAAGAAGTATACATTTTATATTAAAGGTCTATACTTGGCCTTCACCATGTTTGGCTCCCTACCCAATAGTACAAGGCCTATTGATAGAACACTAATTACATAGGAATTCACTACAAGATATTAGACTTTCAATTAAAAAAAAAATAAAAAAAACATAGTAAAACTTATCACTACAGGAGTCAAGAATAATAGATGATAACTTTCAATTGATAACATAACAAAAATAGAAAGTACACCATACCATTCTGACCCAAGAAACTAGCCTGTTTTATGTCTGTTCCTACATTACAGTGACCAACATATCTCTGTTTCATATCTATGACTGCTTCTGGCTGCAATTCAAGAAAACTCTTAGTCAGAGGACAAGGACCGACCAAAATTTAAATATTAAACCACATTGCTCATACTGTAATGACACTGAGATACAGCCTCTACTTGAGTGTAAATGCAAGATCAAAAAAGGAACTGTTCACTACTGTACGTAAGAATAAACAAATGAACAGTAAAGTAGAGGTCATTTGAACAGCTGGTTATACAGCATCAATAGGCCATCACATACGCAATTCTCAATTAGTATGGAAAAGAAAGAAAATTTGATCTCATCGTGCCGCTAAAAAGTAATGTAGTGTGTGTGTATCTGTGTCTTCATGCACAAGGCTAAAAGCTGGCTTTAGTTAAATAAACCTGATAACTTGTTCTGTCAGTTTGGGAAGAAGATGGAGATCCACAAGAGCCATTAGAACTACCAGCTTTTCTATGAATCCTCAAATTCAGACTTCCATGAACCGATTCAGCATCACGGCCCTCATCACCTGACATTGATGTTTCAAAATCCAACTCTAGTTCTTCATCATAATCAGAATCTTCTCTATCAGATCTAGGACCATCTTGTGAAGCATCACTATTAGCTTCTGAGCGGTAAAGTATGTCACTTAATGATATTACTCTGCCAGCACGTGGTCCAGTCTTGGATCCCACATCATTCAACTTCTTATTCTTTTCAACTTCAGCTATTCATGTTTCAAAAAAATAAAATCACATCAGGTACAAAGCACCAGATACAAAACAGAGACTAAGGCAAACTTTCAAGTCTTCAAGTCCCAACACTTCCACCAAAGCTGACAACAGTAAAGTCTAAGCCAAAAACAAGAAGAAAAATGGAATTGCACTTTCAACAAACCAATGTTTGAATGTTGCAGCAATTCAAATAATACTATAAACCAATGAGTCAAAGACCTAAGGAGAGGGAAAGACTCGACTAGCAGTACAACTGAATACAAACATCATCCTTGCAGCTCTAAAATGTAAAGCATGCAGAGATGCAAGTGCCTTCTCAAATATTTGCAACTTTTCAACTTCATATGTCCCACTGAGTGCATACTTCTCTAACATACAGCAATTATCACTTCCTCACAATGTCCCTACTCCAGATGCTCCTTCTTGAATGTTGAATTAATCAAGTGGAGAAGTAAGACATTTAATTGCAATTTTAAAAACACTCTGTCAGCACAGTGCATAGGATATACAGCATGTAATTATCCCAATAATAACAATTCCTTCATAAAAAGAATATGCAATTTGATTACTTCATCTCAACAAAGTCAATTTTTACTTTTTTTTAGAATGATTTTCACTTATCGATAGATAGAAAGACAAAGAGGTCCACCGATACAAAACAGCAACTCAATACATTATAAGCAGCAGCTTGTTGATGTTGCCAAACACCCACCATCATCAAAAGATATAAAAAATAATGCAAAATAAAAGCTTCAAGAGGCGACACTCAACCAATCATCCCCTGTCTGTTTAAAAAATGGTGAACCTGAAAAACCTAACTCAGAGAGACATATGAATATATGTAACTATAAGTTTTACACACAGACCTGCTGAAAGTTCCTTTCGTATACTTTCTACCCTATCCAACGCTTCGGCTCTTGAGGGATCCAGAGACTGAGCTGCAAGAGCAAAATCTAGAGCTTCTTTATGCTTTCCCAACTGCATACAAGGATGATGAAAGAAAATAAATAAATTAACAGAGCCAAAGAATCAGCAGATCCAGAAAAGAATAAGCTGTAGTCCGAAAGGCATAAGTATGTGTAATGTCCGTAACAATTTTTATAGCATTTAATATGAATCTTCCAGGGCTTCTGACATCATAAATTTTATGCTTACCATGAACTTCTGAATCGAATTTGTGACAATAAAGTAAAATGAAACAGGAATTCCAAGGTCTCAGCACCTTTAAAGCTCTCCCATGATTTAGTCCAGTATTCTGAAAGTGATTCTCATATACCTCCAAATCTGAAAGGTGTTAAACACTTTGAAATTTGTATCCAAAGTATGAAAACTTTGACCATGAGTTCTTACTATTACACACTTTGGATATCAAAATTTTGCGAGAGATCTTGTTAGATTCGCCAAAGGGTTGCATTGGAGTCTACGTAAATAGTATGTATCAACATTTTTCAGATTTGGAGGTAGTACATATTTATACGATAACAAAGAAAAATCCTATTTGTAAGTGATAATCAGTGCCAGAAGATTCAATTTCCATAAAATTCTTATCATCAAAATGTTCGCGCTCTTTCAAGGTCCTTTTTAGATTGCCTGAACATCAATATCCGACAAATTGTCTAATCCATAACTATACACTGGTGGGAAATTTACACTATAAAGACATGTCTCTCAAGAGGAGAACAAGACTAATTATTTTCAAGGTATCAGCCTTTTCTTGATTGTTGATTTCTTAAGAAAGTCTTTGACCGGCAACATCAAATTGATCATCCAGAAGAATATACTATCCCAAATCAGGTTTAACACAGAAATAAATTTTCAGCCACCAAAATTATAATAACATCACTAATTTAATTATCAAGATTAGAAAAGTCAAAGGACTTTTATATTTGGATCAAGGCAGTCATATTTCAGTCTCAGAAACCAATGCCTTATTTGTTGTTAAACACAAATATTTCATAATAGTCAGGCAGTTGTCCCAGATTGAGAGCGTAAAAGAAATTCTCTCTTAATTATTTTTATTTCACATAAAACGTACAATCATTAGTTGATATCTCTAGTTAAGAATGGGCTAAACGGAAATTATTGAATCTCTAAGCGACAATCTTCTAATTACCAAATAAATGATCTAATGGATATACCAAATGCCAGAGGTAGGTAGCACAAAAAATGAATCCTAACCTGAGATAGAGCTTCAGACATGCAGAAACGTGCTTTAAATGAAGATGAATTAATTTTTTGAGCTTGATTCAAATCCCTAACAGCCATGTGGGCGTCATTTTTCCACTTCCGCTGGAAAATGAGAAGTCGTCAGCAATAAGCACGGCCCAAATTAGAAACACAAATATCGCCAACATCAACCAAGAATTTGAGTTAAACCTGAAGAAACAAGGCAGCACGTATACAGAGACAATCATGCTTAAGCTGGCGATCAATTTTATAACCTCCATCCAGAACTTCATTACATGCTTCAATTCCATAATAATACTTTGCTCCCTCTTCCAAACATGTTTTTGCAAATTCCATAAGTTTTTTGCACTTGCCTATCTGTGAAGATATAGTTCAAAAGTTGATCATATTGTACTACTCAAGAGAAGGTGAACAGGAAAAAGCCAATTCTCCAAAAGGAGAAAAAAAAAAATAAAAAAATAAAAAAAAAAAAAATTACCTGCACAGTATCATAGTTTTTTGCTGAGGAGATATTTTTAGAAGCAACAGCATCTACAGGTGAAAATTCTACTCCATCAAGAGCAGGGGAAAAGCTCCAATGCTTTGAAACATCTCCACATGTGTACTGCATAGAATTTACACCGCCTGCAAACACACCCAAGGAAAAAAAATAATATAAAACCACAAAATGAGGGAAAACAGAGTGATAAACTGCAGTCATAGGTTTTTTTTGTGTGTGTGTGTGTGGGTTGGGGGGGGGGGGTGTTCGCGTTTGTGTATGTGTGTGCGCGTCTGAAAAAGAGTGAACAAGTTTAAAAGATGCCCAGCAGACTTAGTTTGGCCCAACATAAATTTGCATTTAAAAAATTCCCTAATTCCAGGCCAACCCCATAGCCTCCCTTCTCTCCCCCCATCCTCCCAACTAGTCAACTACTACCTATGTTTTGCAACATCTCTGCATGTGTACTGCATAGCATTCCCGCCGCTTGCAGCCACCCCCAAGAAAAGGAGTAATATAAAACGAGGAAAACAGTGTGTATGCGGGCATACATGTATTGCTCCCATGTTTCCCAAAGAGAGAAAACAAGTTTGAAAGATGCTCAGCAGTTAGTTTGGCCCAACCTAAATTTGCGTAAATAAAATTCCCGAATTCCATACCAACCGCCCCCCCCCCCCCCCCCCCCCCCCCCCGCAACAAAAAAAAACTAATCAACAGCCACCTATGTTAACTCTGACTGTACATATCAGTCACTCCACCATGGGTGTAGACATTATCCTTTATCACAGACAAGTAAGATGGAAATCTATAGTACTCCTAAAACCCAAGACAAAGACTTATTCCCTCGCCATGTGTTACCGCATTTTCTCTAACCACCAATCCTCACATAAAAAATGAAACTATCAAGACTCCAACCTCTCACTTTAAAAGCAAAGAATTTACAAACTCATCTATTCAAATTTATTTGGTTTCATTATCATACCAAAGCTATAATATTCTGTAATTGAAAGAGACTATAATCCGATGGGTGTACGACCTTTATAACCAATTGTCAACTATGCTTTATTGACTCATCAAAACCTTTTGTCCTCAATCATATTAATCAATTGTGTGAAGTAAATAAAATTTCCTTCAATCTTACATTACATATAAATAATATAATACCCCGGGGCATCGCTTAGGGCAATAGTTTTGCATAAAAAAAAGCAGAGCCAAGCACTTAGGGCACATACCCATGTCTGACACAAGAACCCAAGTCAAAGTATCACACAAGAAATATATGGCCGTCACTGATTATAGCCTTTGTTTCATAGAACTTCCATGAATCTTAGGTCTAGATAAGATATAGCATCTGGTTGAATATACAGTTGCAATACTGTACAACGGCAGAAATGCATCAGAACCAAGACACACACTCATATCAAATAATTAAACAATTCATTGTAATTATCAGCTCCATAGTCCCTTTTCAATGAGCATTTTTTATAAGAGCAAAAAATTCATCTTCAAGCAGATTGACTATTTCAATAACCAGATTTTCATGTGTCATGAATTCATGCAGAATTACTCAAACTTCATGCCAGAATTCCCAGACATACAACATATTTATTTTAGGAAATGATCAGTAATTGGTTCCTACTAAGGGTTTCTAAAAGAAGTGCTGACAAAGAAACAAAGAATATTGTCCTGAAACCAAATGACATGAACACTTAAAATAGCAGAAGCTCTAATTAGAGGTCAAATTTATCCCGATCCTTGAAGTTGATGACACTGCTCCAGACTGAATGAAATTGAGAATTCATAAAAATAAGGTAAATGCAACTGTAAACCTTGCTTCAGGTCCATCAAGTAGACATGCTCTCCACTATAACTTGTAAGAACTTCTTCGCCATTAGGACTAAATGTAACATGAGTTAAATGCAAGCTTGATCGTCCCTGAATAAAAAATTGCACAGTTAAATAAGATTAGACGTCAGCAGAACGTAAAATACTACTTCCTCCGTTTTTTTTTAAGTTGACACATCTCTTTTTTTCCACGTTTGCCAACGCACTATTTGAATGGTTAACATCTCTAATTATCAATGAGTAAAAATCATAAAAAGTTGATGTTATGAAAATATATTTTGAGATGGTTCTAAGGCCCCATATGACTATGTTTTATCGTAACTATAGATCACAAAAGCTAGTCAAAGTAGGATTTGTGAATAGTGTCAAAGTCAAAATGTGTCAACCAAAAAAAACGGAGGAAGTAATAAACAGTCCAAGAACTACAGGGAATGCGCATGTAAGAATTTATTTAAATCAACCACAATGAACAAAGTTAAGACTGAATTAATCCTTCCACAAAAATTTGACACCTTTTGTAAGTCACATTTATGTAAAAAGCTCACAAATAAAGTGTGAAATATTTTGGTATACTAAATAAAATTTAAAGCCCTGAAATCTAATTTGCACCAATCTACAACCTCTAAACAGTAGAAAATAGGGATAACAGATTGTCATCTAACGAATCCAAACAGGTACCAAAATTACATACTGACCTCCCCAATCGAGTGACTCTTGAAAGCCCCTGCTGCCATAGCCCATAATAGCTAAATAAGTGACTTTGTCCCCATGACAATTGAGAAGACAAAACAAACTTCTGAGTTGACCCTACTTTGTCCCCATGACAATTGAGAAGACAAAACAAACTTCTGAGTTGACCCTTGAATCTGCTTTAGCCACACACACCACATGAATTCCATAAAAGCATTGCGCCACAACAACTTCTTCTATTTACCCTAATTAAACCTTCGAAATCTAATCTGCACCAATCCACAACCTCTAAAAGGAAAAACCTAGAATCCTCGAGCAAAGCAAACAGGCTCCCTCAGAGGGATCTTGCCTTGTCAAAATGTAGGATATAGTGAAAAGGATTTCATTAGCAACTTGACAAGCATGCAGATAGCTAGTTAAGTAACAAAAACCGGCCTTAACTTTAAAGCATGTCACTAGTATTTTTCTTACCAAAAGCCAAAGCCCACATAAAATCCTTCACCTTAGAGAAACCTCACCAAAACCTCACCTTCCAAATAATGTTTGCTGCAGGAAAAGCTGGTGAGAGTGTTGAGTTGAGAAACAAAGAAACCATCTACAAAATAGAAGACCCTGATAACGCCCTCCCCCTCTTACCCACACCCTGAAATCCACTGCTACTAATTAAAAACCCATCTTCTCCATTGAGGAAGAAAGATACTCAACTCCATATCTTGTAGCGGTCATCAGAAATGTAGAGAGGAGGAAAGATACCCAACTCCATAATGAGATTTACAATTAAAAAAAAAAATAGACACTACTACATTATGGAGAGAGGATAAATGGAGTAACCAAGGGAAATAAGTACAAAAAAGCTGATCTCTTCTCCAAATATCATCCCAAAACAAATGCAACTATCCCCTATCTTGAACAGTTGAACCTCAATAGAGATGAGAAGAAAGTAATGAAGTCCGAAATGAACTGCCAAGGGCACGCATGTGTCACTCTCGTAGCTACCTAAGCATCCTACATTCCCCAAACTTTGATGCAGCCCATATTCTAAGATGACAAACCAACTAAAGGGCAATTGTTCAAGTGCAAACAAAGCAAAGAGAAAGCTACAAGTCTCTTAAGGTAGTACACTAAAGGCAAAGGAGACTATGAGAGAGTTCAGTTCTTCTACAGATATGGCAAAATAACCTAATCAAAGAAAGCAAGACCTACTTGCACAAATCTGTTATTATGTTAATATAATGTCCCACTTCCCGGAGGTAGTTATCCAAGGAGACATATTTATAATTTTGCTAAAGATTTTTACCCATATTGGATGAATTTTCCAATTGGAAAGGAATCTCTAGCAATGTCAGACTAAACCCGTTTAAGAGTACCTGGAATTGAATGCATATGAGATTACACCGCTACCAAATACTACCTAAGCGACATCAAAATTCTAGGAAAATTTTAAGCACAGAAATCATTTTTCATACTAACCCTCTCAGAGAGATGAATTGGGCAAAAATAGTTAACACAAGGAGGTGGTGAATTTTTTCTCCGGCAGGAAGACATTGGAGGCAGCATCCTTCTATCATACAAACGAGCAAATGCATCACTGCAAGCATTTAGCAACAAGAAAAATTGGCACACATTAGCACAGCCTCTTTAAAATTAAACAGCTACAAAATAATAAATAGAAATTCAGAGATTGATTGGATAGCTGAAAAGCACCTTCCTCCGACAAGAAGCAGATGTGGCTTTGTCACACTGATATCACAAGACTTTAATTGAAGTGGGTGTTTAGGAGGTTCAGCCAAGGACCTTTTTGCAGCACCTCGCAAGTCAAGCTGGCATGAAATCCTAGTAGTTAGTTAATGACACTTGAACAAAGCAAATTCCCCTGTCCCCAAACAAAGAAAGTTAGACAGATATTTTCCCATAAATGAATAGCCCTTCAGATACAATTCATTTCCCCATAATATAGAGAGGAAAAAAAATTTAAAAAAAGTTAAAAAAAAAAAAAAAAAAACACATTTTATTAGAATTAGAACAGTCGTGTGAACAAAAAAGGCGTCCTTGGATTGCTATATCCTATCAGTGGCAGCAGGAAAGCACTATTCTTTTGAGATCAAAGTCAAACTTTCACATTTGAAATAAATATGATTAGATTTATCTCGGAAAACACTTTTACATAAGTATACCCTATAATTTTTACTGAAATATAAAGATAATAATTAAAAAATAAATCCTAATACTAGAAAATGAAGAATCATAAAAACTATAAGATCGATTCATTGTTCTCCCCTCATTATCAAATCAATTGTCTAGCTTTTGGTAAAACACCAAATAATTGTCTTGTTACCTTAAGAATCCATTTGTTTTGATGGAAAACATTTTCCTGGAAATTGATTTTCCTTTGTTTCTCCATTTTCCTTTATTTGTTCCGTAGAAGGGTGGAAAACAATTTTTCTATAGGTGAAAATTTAATTTTAAGAAAAGGAAATCCATTTTCCTTTTGTAAAGAAGGTATGACACATTTTCCTATTTACTCCTCACTTCTCTACTTTCTCTCCTTTATCATTCCTCTCCTTTTTACATCCATTTTCCTTTTTCTCTATAAAACTTTTTATAATCAAACAAAGGAAAATTATTTTCACAATAATGTTTTCAATTGAAAATTGATTTCTTTCGAAAATGATTTTCCATGAAAATGAAATATGTTTTCCATCAAAACAAACAGAACCTAAATGGAAAGTTCACCTTACTTAACTTTTCAACCCGTGTGACTATCTCACTATCACTTTCTCTATCTCTTCATATCTCATGTGATGTGGTCAATGTGGCGACCCCCCTCTACTATCTCTTTCCCCCTCAATCAATTTTTTACTTCTCCAATATCCATAAATAAATAAATAAATAAAGGTCAATACTACCTTACGATCTACTAATTAATATGCTACCCAAATCTAAGATGACAACAGTTTGACAGTAGAGGGAGTATCAAGTTCTATACATTATCACTATTATCATGGTAAGACAATTGCTGACAATCAAAGGGGATAGCGAACTCACTAGTACACTGCGGCATTCTTGATTGGAAGATCCAGCGGGAGGACATGAACAACCCTCACGAAGATCATGTTGCCTCAAGGTTCCATCTTCACTGGCACTCCAGATCACATTTGGGTTTCCAACCTCAACCTACAAAGACCACAAGGACCACAATGTAAAAGAGGACAATACTAAGACTATATAACAAAGCATTTTCCATTTTGAAACAATATTGAAGCCCTTGTTATCATATAAAGCAAATAAGGATTGCACAGAAGGAAAAGGATAAAAGATAAAAAGTCTCACCGCTAACTTTTTTACTCTCTTAGTATGACACTGAAAATGAGCGTATGGGGTCATGGCAGTCTCTTCAACCCTTCCTCCACTTAAATAAGAGATATTGAACACACGGACCTAAAATCATAAGAGCTTGTAACCAACACTACTTGCCAATCCACGGAAATCTTCAAAAATTTAACACAATGTATTACCTCAGCATCACCAGCCCCAGACGCCACTTTCTCATCAGAAGTCTCAGGTATAAATTTTGTACAGAATATGTTGGTAGAATGCCCCGTATCAATGCAGTTCAAAAGCTTACGATCAGAGTATCTCCATATATTAATCTGTGAGCAACAATGTATGACATAAATAGACATTCTGAAATCCCTTGGTAGTAAATCTCTGGGTTAATGCCAAGAAGAAACATTCTTTGAAAAATAACACTCAACTTCCCCATCAGCTAGTTCAACCAAGGATGAGGTACCTAATGTTCTAGAAAATAGCAATGTTCTTCTCCAAAATTTTCAGTTGACACAACAACAAAAATAAATAAATAAATAAATAAAAAAAATAAAATAAAATATACACATTTCAACAGACTCCAATTTGGGGAACAACTATTCAAAAAATTACATTTCCTGTCCTTTTGCTTCATTGCATTTTTGCACAGTCACCTTGCACCAAAGCGAGCCTAAACACTGCCCAAGTCATGAAAAAAAACATTGAGATTGTAAAAAGAAAGTTACCTGGGTGTCATCTGATCCAGATATCAAGAGTGAACCTGTTGAGTTCCATGCAATAGTATTTACACAACCTGTGTGTCCCTGTGAGCAAAATAAAATCAAAGTACATAAAAGACAGAAGCACAGGGAGTAAAAACGAGCTGCAAATGTAAATCAAGAACAAGCAAAAGAAATTCAACACTCTGTTGGTAGGGTGCCATGTATTATATATCATGTCTTTACATGTTTTGGCTATTTGCACATAAAGATTTGCGTGACAGAGAGACTCCAGCCAATTATTTGATTAACTTGAAGGTCAATGTCTGTTCTAAAGTCTACCTATCTTCGCACTGAAATCAAGGATAAGAATTTACAGAATTCGCAGCATAATCAATACTACATTGAGATCTTGTTATGTGCCAACAAATTAGTTTCCCACATTGGAAAAGTGGAGGAAAAAATCTCCTCAACATCCTAATTTACCCTTGTATCCAATGTAAGAAAAAAAAAAGGCTCAAGACGCATTGAGGTGATAGGTTCTAAGTTTATTTGCATCTCAATGAAGAGAGTACACGTAATTTTAAAAAAAAATTAAAAATTATAATGTGAAAAGAGAAAATTGGACATCACTTTAAATCGCCTCGCCTATACCAAAAAAAGCACACGCCTATCTCTAATCACCTTGGGCCTAGGCGCGCCTTTTTATACATTGTGTTATTTGCCTGTTTTTTCCATATTGTTTTGCAATGGAAATTGTCGCTAGGGTTTGTACAATGTCTCACTCTCTTTGCCCTTCACAAATGTGAGAAAAACCCATTTTCAATACATACTTAAAAATTGGTATTAGAACTCAAGTCAACTTGTTTAAAATTATGACCCTCAAATTATACAACTAGATAAAAATTTAGCCCTTGCTAAGATCCAACGATCCAATCCCAAAATAGATCATTTTATAAGCTTGCAACTGACATACCACATTAGACACAAGGGGAAAGAGCAACCTCATAAGGTAATGTGTTAGTTTGTACATTGTTTTACTCGCCTTGGAAAGCCTTTCATGAGTGTGGTTCTGACCTAATTCCAACTTAGCAAATCTAGCATAGTATTAGAATTCAAGTCAGCTTGGTTAAGAATAATGGCCCTTCAACCATAAAACTAGATAACAACTTGGTCTTCATCAATTACCAAGCCAGAATGAGAATTGCTTTTTCATCTTTCCAATTTGCTTAACTTGGAAAAACTTCAAGAAGAGGAGGGATACTGCTATACCTTTATGTGCCAACAAAGAAATTGGCCCATATTGGAGCAGATGCGTAAACAATTAACTTTTACATAAGCCCTCTTAACCATTGTCAATTGGCTTTGGGATAAAACTCACATTTGACGTAGTAAATATTAAATAGTCTAACTCTCCCTTTATGACCGCTATCTAAATCTAAGTAGGAACTATATGGACAATAAATCAGCCACACACTTGACACACTGTATAGTTTTTGTTTGTTCTTACATAGAGGTGCTAACATAATCAATGGTCAACTGAATAATTGTTTCTCTTTAATGCAATTTAAAACCTATCTTTTGATACTTTCCATTAGAATTACTCTTGCTTGGCAAAATATGTGGCACGGTAACAAATTTGAAAAGACTAAAATTTTCTAGTGGCTACATGTTCACCAACTAACAACAATCTAAACTGTCAATTATAGTGTTAATAACACTATATATCTAGCAAATTTTATTGTGTTTTGATAATCAATGACATAAACCGGAAGAAAAGTAAAAGTAACCTTCACATTGTTTTGCATTTAATTGAAAAATTCAACACTCTCAAGCTAAAATATCATGATAACTACATAAACTTCATGAAAACAAACGTAAAAATCTGGCTTAGCAGACCAAACCTCCATTTCCCTTTCCAATGATAGCCTCCGCACCATGGACGAGTGCATTTGTAAAGTATGCTTGACATCCTACAATACGAAACAAAAAAAATAAGTACTAATTTTTGGCGGTAAAACAACTTTAGAGACACGTTTATATGCACATCAAACATGCTGAAAACCACAATTTTTCAGCAAAACAGTAGATCATTGCAACACCAGCTATACAACAGTCAGACCAAGATACTCCAATGAGTTCACAAACATCCTACAAATACCTCATTCAATGAGCTGATAAAACAATAACAATTTTACACGCTACGATTATAGTTGCCTACTGATACAAAGAACCATCAAGAAACTGTTTTTTTGCTTCCGAATAATAGAATTTGATCAACAACCCTCCAATCACACTCTCCTACTTTCAGGCGAAAATTATTGCAACACCAGTTATACCAGTCAGGGCAAGATACTCTTACAAGTTCACAAACATCCTACTAATATACCTCGTTCGATGATTCAAAAAACAATAACAATCAATTATCCATCGCCTAATAACACAAAGAACAATCAAGAATCAGCTCTAACTGTTTTCCTGCTTCCAAATTATACAATTTGTCAGACATTGACCTTACACTAGCATGTTACTAAACACATGTCTTCATATTCATATTTACAACAATCACAATCTCATACTTTCAGGCAAAAATTCACTTCCAAAATCAAACATTCAGAATACAAAATCAAAGCTGAAATCATTTACAACTGAAAACAAAACCAATCAAAGCATAATCCGAAGCACAAAAATGATCGAATTGAATAAAATTAAAAGAAAATGATCAAAATTGAATTTACAGTATAATTACACAATCAATAAGAGAGAAAAAAAAGAGAGAATATACATGGCGGAAGTCGATATTACGGCTGTCAATGAAACTGGAAATGTTGCCGTCATGAAAGGGGAAGGAATCCATAGTCGAGGAGAGAGAAATTCTGAAACCCTAAGATGATCGGTGAAGAAGACGAAGTAGTTAAAGATTGAAGCTGAAGAAGTAGGAGAGAGAAATAGAGAGGGAAATATTACAGAGGGTTTTGTAGCACTTCCTTTTGCAGGGGGACCCTCGTGTAATGTAGAACGTCAGTCACCTGGGATGTTCTATTGATTACTTTAAATAATCCAATTTTTTCTCCATTTTCCCATAATCAACTTTTGGATTATTCTAGAATAATTCAAACCTTTGAACCCATCTTCCCATATCGAACCCAACATATTACCAAGCCGGTATAACCGGTTACCTTACCTACGTGTTATTTTCTTATTGGTTTATTTTTTAATTTACAAGTTTTTTTCTTTTTTTATAAAAAAAAAAACCACCCCCACCACTTCTTTCTCCCTCCTCTCTCTTTGTCCATGACCACCTCCTTCACTACCACCTTACCTCCCCTCCCACTTACCCACCAACAACATCACTACAACCCACAACAAACACCTCGAATCCGGCCCCAAATCCCCACCCACCTCAATTTCCGTCACCCCCACCACAAACCCAGCCGAATCCCCTTTAACCACTAGTTCTTTCTCTCTCCTTTAACTACCGCGTCTTTCTCTCTCCTCCCCACCACCACCGTTGTCAAAATTGCTTTCTCACTCTCTTCTCCCTCATCCTCCTCCTTCCGGATTATAATTGCCACCTCCATTCAGATTACTTTAAATTCCTTTTTTTTTTTTTCAATTCTTCACCACCATTAAAGCTCTCAAGTGTGAGGTTTTAATGGTTAAATTTAACCAAATAAAACCATAATTGAAATTTTAAAAGTTAAGGTTGGGATTTAAAATTTAAGGGTCGTTTGGGGTTCGTGTTGGTCGTGGTCTGTGGTGAGTAACGGTGGTGTTGACAGGTTTTGATGGGTGTAGGGTGGTGTTTGTTGTTCGTTGTGGACGGGGGTGTGGATGGTGGGAGTTTTGATGGTGGTGAGGTTTGTATGTTCTTATGTTTTGGTGGGTGAGGATGGTGGAAGCGGCGGTGGTGACAGGCTGGTCATTACGTGATGCGCGTGAATGCTGTCGATAGGTAGGTGTTTGTTTATGTGGCGGTAGGTGCTGTGTTGAGTGGTGATGGTATCTTGAGTGGTGATGTTGGTGTGTTGAGGTGGTTGCGGGTGCTATTAATGGTGGCCAAAGGTGTACAAGGTGGTTGTTTTTGGTATAAGGTGGTCAAGGGTGATCAAAACGGGAAAAAAAAAAAAGAAATATAAAAATTTGACCTGTTGCTAAGGTAGCAGGTCATTTGGGTTCGATATGGGAAGATGGGGTCCAACGGTTTGGTTTACTTTGGGTGAATGGGCAAAGGTTGGATTATTTAAAGTAATTTTTCCTATTTTCTTTAACTCTAAAGAAATATTCTCACCATTTCACCAATCAATAGTTTGTCATATAATATGCCCCATTCACTTCACCTTATTTTTGTTGAATAGAAATTATTTTTACTAAACTGAAATTATTTTTGCTGAACTGAAATTATTTTTACTGATTTTCTATTATATTTCTTCTTTAAGTTTACTGATTTTTACTGAACTGAATTATTTTTGCTGAACTGAAATTAATTTTACTGAATTAAAATTATTTTTATTGAATATTAATTTTTTAAGGTGAAGTGAATAGGGCCTAATCACTTAATTAGTATACGATCAATCGTGGCATTGTGTATTATGTGCATAATATAATCATACATCCTAGAATGAAAATTTTACATGTGGCCTTCAAGATTTTTTTTGTTTTTGAACAAATGTGGCCTTTAAGATTGAAAATTTCTATTTGGTGTAAAAATAGTTTGCCACGATTTCTAGTGACCATCTACATTTGATTAACTCTATATACTATATCTATAGTAATATATACAGAGAAGATCCTTTTGGTTGATAAATTAGCCTTTTCTCCAAAATGTCATTTTCAATTTGCAAAATTACTTATTTACTAATTATTATTTTCTTTTAAATAAAAGTTTATAAGTGCTCAAAAAAAAAAAAAAAAAAAAAAAAAAAAAAAAAAAAAAAACTAACTTACTACCCACAAACCAATATTATATACTTTTCATAAATTAAAAAAAAAAAAAAAAAAACTAACTACCCACCCAATTTACCTTTTCCTTCTTTTTATTCTTTCTTTTTTTTTAAGGAAAAATTGTCGAAAATAATACAACCTTTAAACCGTTCTTTTTAAATAATACAACTTTTGGATAATACTCGAATATTACAACCTTTAACGGGTGTTAATTAAAACAGGCAAAAATCGGTTGGTAATCTGTTTTCACGGGTTAATGGGACACATGTTGCTTTATCATTTGATGAGCTATTTTTTGTGTTTTTTTTCAACTTCTTTATTCCTCCTTCCCCCATGTCAATGGCAGTCTAGCCACCACGAAAACCACCAAAGCACCCCGCACACACCAAGCCACAGCCCCAATTTCACAACCCATCCAAGTCACAAGCTCCCCGAGTCCCCGCATCAAATTGCAGTGGCAGGCGCATCCACATCAACCCCGCTGCCACCAATCACCTCCCCAATCGCAACAATCAGCAACAACCCGCACACACCAAGCCGCAGCCCGCTCAATCACCTCACGCTACCGCCAACAACCACCAGCCATCTCCAATTCACAAGCCCGTAATTGCAGAGGCAACCACCAATCACCGCACCAAAAACCGTCAGGCAGCCCCAATTTCAGCCAAATTCTGCTCAATTTGAAGAACCCATGTCAGCTATTCGGCCCCTTACTCTGCCCTGAAACCCGTTCCCTTCCCCTGCATCGTGGCGATGTTCGCATCGGGGTACGGTGGGGCTCGCGTCGTCGGGGGAGGGGGGCTTGCGTCATAGTGTTCGCTAGTGGGGGATTGAGCGAGTGATGTCGGCGGGGAGAGGTTGTTCGCCGGAGAAGAAGGCTGCGTGTGGTGGTCGTTGGGGTTAAAGGGCTGGTTTTTCTTGTTTTTGTTTTATTTAAATCTAAAATTAATTATTTCAAAAAAAAATTAATATTTAGATCAATTACATGACGACACATGTCATGGGTAACCGATTTACTAGGTTATAAGTTTTTTATCTTGTTTAAAATTAACACCCATAAAGGTTGTAATAATCAGGTATAATTCAAAGGTTGTATTTTAAAAAGAACGGCCCAAAGGTTGTATTATTTCGACAATTTTTTCTTTTTTTTTTTAATTGAAAAATATACCAATATAGTCAACATATACCACGTTCATCTTTGTTAACCAAAAAAAAAAACCTTAACTTTGGAGACGTATACTGTAGATGTCTATTCTATAACCTTGAATCTTTTATACAAAAAACTTAACAGCCAACAATATTTTTCGAGGTTAAGATATAAGAAGTGGAGTAATTTTTTTTTTTACGATCTTTAATCTTTTTTTTTTTGTTTTTTTGAAGAAAACGGATGGCCGTGCCTTATATTATGAGTATTGATTTAAACCTTTAATTTAAATTGGAAAAATGGAATCTAATTATCCCACCTTTGGCGTTTTTTCTCAAAACAATATCACTTTTTCAAAATCTGGAAACAATCCCACCTTTGACCCGCATATGCTTAAAACGAGTCTTTTACCGGTTTGTCAAATTAGTAACCGGTTTAAGAAGGTGACTTGACACATGTCACCTTCTTATTGATTTTTTTTTTTTTTAATACTTCCTCCGTTTTTAAATACTTGCTCCAATTCTTCATGTGCGGAGTTTTAGGTGAAATTGAAAGAAGAAAAATAAGCAAAATTGGCTAGAACATCACAAACTATCGTTTTGGTGCGCTTAACATCACAAGCAATGAACAATACGAATTTTGGAGGTTGAATGTCGCAAATGACATAAATGTTCTCATGTGTCAACCAGTCTACTATGATGTAATTTAGGGCTTATGGCCATTGGGCATCCAAATCCGGACCTACTACATACAAAAATAAAAAAATAAAAAATCTCTCCAATATTTACTCAATGACAGGGTAAGCATGATACTAATCCTAAACCCAAAAGACTAATGCCTCTTCTAAAGAGTCTTATCTCTCGACTGAAACATGTTTTTGATGTCAACATGACCAAGCACTCATCCTACCTTAAGGACCCATGCTTTCCTTCTGATCCAAAGGGGATAGTGGCGGATCAACTCCAATCTCTTTAATCATTGATGAGAATGTGACACTCCAGGATGGCTCCATATGGCCACCAGTGTGCAAATTGCTCTACGAATTGAACTATAGGCAACTTGGTGGGGGGTTAATAAGGCGAAAGCATATTCTAACTACATTCTCGCAGATAGCAAGGGAACCCCGAGTACAATTAAAGTAGAAGTTTAATCAATGAAACCTTTTTTTTTCGAATAGTTAATCAATGAAACCTTGTGTACTTTTGCTGTGACAAAGTTCCTAGTACCCTAGTAATCACTGCCCAAAACCTTGCCATATCAGCAAGGAGATGAGAGTGACTATGACTTGTGATTTGCAAAGTATTCTCCCTAGATATTAGTCATATTACACTCCTTTAATGCATTCTTTGCTCTGGCATCAAATTAAAGATTCATCCAACTCAGATTAGGTTGTACGTTGAAGAACAAAATAATGAGAAAATTGATGAGTGGACGAATATAATTATTAATCATCTTTGTGGGTTAAGGTTTTTAAACAGTTATTTGAAATTTTCTTGATGTATGAATACAAATAACTTATAAATGATTTTTATGAAAAAAAAAAAAAAAATTGAACATGATAACATATATATTCATTGTATATATTTGCATAAAAAAACAATATATTCATTGTATATATGTGCATAAAGAAACAGTAGTTGTTTATCAAGATATCTAAAGAACACTTGCACCAAAAAAAAAAAAAAAAAATCTAAACATGATAATGCATAAGGAAAGACTAAGTTTGACAGTTAGACCCTAGTACACATCTCCAAAGCTACCGAATTAGTTCATGCCAATAACATCAAAATGTTGCTACTTTCCTACTTAATAGTTCCCTCCTGTTACTTTTCTACTTAGTAGGTCTCTTCCTATTCACTGCTTTAACTCACTGAACATTCGGTTGTCAAATAAAAAACTCACTGAACATTGATATGTCAACTTTCATAGACTCACCAAGAAAATGTAGCGAGGACAACAACGATGAGAATTCTATTGCTGACAGGTCATCCTCCCGAATTCTCCTATACAATTCAAGAACTTCCATTACAAGATTACCAAGTCTTTCTTGTTTAAAATTCAACACCGTACCTTTTCTGCATCGCCTGTAGTACACTTGTAGTATGCATATATCAAAGAACACTTCAACCACTTCAGAGTACATCCCACCTATAAAAATAGGCGTTAAAATCGAAACTGCATAATTACAAAATGAAATTTTAATCTTAACTGATTTCAAGCAATATACACTCAATTACATGCCACAAATACATTGACAGTTACCATTAATCTCAGTGGCTCACAAAGTAACGGCAGAGATACAACATACCCTCAAATTGACAATATATAAGCCTAGAACCTCAACAATTTCACACTCTGTAGTTGCAATCCTAAGTCCCAAATACACAACTTATATTGGTTGGGAATAGATCTTTTCATTTCAGAAGATTGTTACCCGAGAAAGTAAGTATCTGCAACTCAACACACGTTTCAAAAACTAGAGGTTACCAGACTAAAACCTCAACAATTTAACACTCTATTGTTGCAATCCTAAGTCCTAAATACACAACTCGTCTTCATATTTGTTGGAAATAGATCTCAACAGTGCTCATTCTGAATGTAAAAGGACTGTAAAGAAAGCACCAGGAAAGGGTAGAAAACTGCACAAGATCAAGCTAATAAGAAAAATACATGACACAATAAAAAAAATTGATTTTAAGCACTGAAAGGATGAAGTAATTAACAAACATAAAATTATTTATCAATTAACAAATTACATAAAATTATTTATTAATTAACAAATTACATAAATATTTATAATTATAAAAACAAATGATTTATTCAATAAAAGTATTATCATTTTGCCCCGAGCCACCAAAATATTAGAAACGACTATGCAAATAAGTATCAGAAATCTTGCATAACTGACTGATACTCATGCCAACGCCAACGCCGATAAGTACCACAGTCACGAAACAAATGCACTTGCAGTTTGAACACTCCACTTAATATTTTTCCATGGCTTTTACGGTACTGAGAACTGGTAAAACGGCAAGAGAAGAACTGGTAGAAAAGATTTTGAGGGAAGAGGAGGGAAGAGAGTAGATGTTTGCAAATATTTAAGTCAATTGGTAATGAAATTAAAGAGTATGGACTTATGGAGTATATAATTTTAAGCCAAAAATTTTTAGTGTTGTATAACTTGTACGTGTTTAGGGCCTTATTAAGGGTAGAGGTGTCAATCTGGGTTTTTGGGTCGGGTTTGGTAAGGTCCGATCTAAATTTAAACTAAAGTCAAGTTAAATTATTGTTTACATGCAAGTCGAATATGAATCGGGTTTTTCTTGGATCGGGACGGTTAGATCAGATTTTGACACCTCTACTTACAGTCGTTACAGGTGTTTGGTACACAAGTACACGGTTTTTTAATACACCGGCTTAAAAGACCCAACCGGTTTCGGCTTAATCGTAATCAAGTCAAAACGACACATCACAAAAAAAAAAAAAATAATAAATAAAAAATAAAAAATTACACATGTGTTCATGTAGAAATAGGTGCACCCAAATGTTTGTTTGTTTTTTTTTTTTCTCATTTTAAAACTATATAATGAATAAAAAGCATCCCGTCAAAACATTAAATGAGCAAAAATTACCTTTAGCCATATTATAGCCTTTATAGAGTAATGTTCACTGTAGTTGTTACTGATGATTTGTTTTGACACTCATAATCTAAGTTCAAAACGATATTAGTCAACCCCACTTATGGGGTTAAGGCTTTGATTCGTCGAGCTCTAAACAATAGCTTCACAAAATGGTCAAAATCAAGATGAGAGATGTTTGTTCATAATACAAGTGAAATAGGGACAATTTGTAGTATCTATTCTAGAGCACCATCAACAATGAGCAAAAAATGATTTCCTCATTCACTCTCTACCCACTTTCTCTTTCCTTTAACTTATGAGCATTTTTGTGATCATAATTTTATCCCACCAATGATAAAAAAAAAAAAAAAAAAAAAATTCTTCACCATTCTCTCTCTACTTTTTGCTAATATCCACCTATATTTCTCTCTACTATATTATTTTTCTCTCTTTTTTCTTACTTACCTTGTGGGGCCCACATGGTTACTGTACATCTTAAAAATTTCTCATCCTATGAGCATTTTTCATTTTGCTCATGAGCAAATTTGTTTTTGCTTTGGTGCAAGTCTTTTTTTTTTTTTTTTTGTAATTTCACCCAAATTTTTGCTCATGAGCATTTTTTGCTTATTGTTGGCAATGCTAGAAGCAAAGGAAAAATGATCTAGCAGCTTTGAGTGGGATGGAAATAAAGCTGGATTCAATGAAGAAAGCTAAAGCCCATAACTCAACCAATTCCAGGCGACAGTCTAAAGTTTCTTTCAAATAACAAACATCCCCATGAAAACCTAGAGCTAGAAAGGGTCATCGTGCATGCAAGAGACACAAACGGACTCTCATTTTGCCAGCAAAAGAGTAGAAACAGACTCAATCTAAATCAGCAGTAGAGAGTATTTTGGCAGCACCAACCTTAAGATAGTCTGCAACTAGCTTATTAAAGAGCAAGAAAGCCAAGAACAGATTCTATGTAGGGTTTCTGTGGAGGTTTCAGAAGGAAGAGCAAGCTGCAAGATTTTCACAAAGATCAATATCATAATCCAATATTTATAAAACATTGGACTGTCAGAAGTTACAAAATAAGGCATCTACACAACAAATTGCTTTCCAACAACAGCAAAGGAAAGGTGCTGGACATGACAGACTGGATACCACAGTAATCATGTTGGAAAAAGGAACAAATAAAGTACACATCCAAGAGGAAATGGGTGAAAGAGGGTGATTATTGACATCCCAATGTAAATCACCATTATATAAGTCACACAAGAAAAATCTTCTAGAGCCCTCAAAACCATACAGCAACAAATACGTTCATGTTTGACAGTAGTACCAACAAATGGAAGGTAAAGATAATTTGCTCCCATCACTTGCTTGCTTATCATATTCCCTTGGAGAGAGGACGGGGGGTTGAAACATGCAGAAGATTTATCACCTTGATTCCATAGTATCCAAGGAGTTCTCCAAGCCCCCCAGCAACAAGAAAAATGCAGCTTATTTTGCATCCTTGACGCCAGCCTCTTTATATTTGATGAAGTTCTCGTCAGCAAAAGTAAGGTTTAACATGTTGGAACCTTATGAAGATTATCAACATATTTTGTTGTTAAGAAAAAAAGGACTATATTAACAGCTCAGAAAAAGGAGATGCAGTTCTCTAGCTAAAGCGGAAAAAGTAAGTAGCAGGTACAAAGTAATCTGGTTTTGATAAACTTATCAACATTTTAATCAGTTGCTTCTACCCACGAGCCAAACACAGCAACTCTACATATTTCCAAATCCAATCCAATCAAAACAAAGAACTTAGATTATCCCTTTTCAGCACATCAAATATATAGCAAACAGAAGCATGTTGGACTATACAAAGTATCAAGTTCAATTCTATGAAGTAGTACAGCTGAAATCTAGAAAGTAGCAACCTAGGAAAGAAAAGATAAAATAATATATAAGCAAATGATTCTTCAGTGACATTGTGTAATTTGTAGTTATATACCCGATTCAAAATCCTCAGGCCTCACAACAGCAGCTCAAATATCAATTTAAACTCTGAGAGCTTCTGGTACCTAATTTAAACTGAAAATGTTAAACTGCACGAGCACAGTTGCTTTAATGGCTATTATTTTTTTTTTTGTAGATGAGACAAATTCCATGCATCTCACTCTGGCTAGCAAGGCAGTGATCCCCCTTCTTTATCTTCCATTTTATTACTTTATATATACAAACATTAGATGATGATTTAAACCCAATTCTTGATTGCTACAGCATGGTATCTGAACTCTGCCTCGCTCAGTGACTCTTCCATTCACATTTTGAACTCTTTAATGCCTCTACTCCAGCAATACATCCTCATATCATCAAAATCTAATGGTGATTTTTTTTAACTTCGAAGTAAAATCCTTTATCTTTCTCAATATTACATATAAGAGCCTTGGTCGAAACTCAGCCACCTAAAGTTGTCAAGTAAATTTTAGTTATGCGAATGTCTGGAGTTCAAAGGTCATCTACCGGATTCATAACTAATTTTGAACTAGGTGCACAGACCTAGCAGGCAGGCAACACCCTAAATTAGGCAAAAATAGAGTGATACTCACGAGACTCACAACTGTAGTCTACACATTACGGAAGGACATACGTTGAAGAAACCGAGATTCAAAGCATTAAACAAGTACACAATGATACCATAGCATGGTCAGAATAAATATCAGGCGCAAGTAAACAGTAAACTCAACTATCAGTATGAAACTCATGACTTACAGAAGGTGTAAAACCATCAAAGCGATCATAATTCATATATCAGTATGAAACTCATGACTTACAGAAGGTGTAAAATCATCTAAGCAATTATAATTCAACTACCAGAATGACACTCATGACTCACAGAAGGTGTAAAAGCATCAGAGTGAATATAATTCAACTATCAGTATGAAACTCATGACTTGTGATTTTAAGATTCATGATTGAAATTGTTCAAAATCAGATATATTACCTTGTTTGTTAGAGATGACGTTGAGAAAAGCGAAAACTCAAAGATGGATCATTTGGCGAAAATCAATGCATTCACCTCAATTTTTCAACTACGCGGACACAAATTCAGTATGAAATTTGAAGAATTCTGGAATTACAAGGAAATTAAGGTTAGGATTTGAATTTTAAGTTGTGATTGAGGTTAAAAAAATTGAGAAAAATAGACTGCGATTTTACGATTTCGGGATTAAAATTGTTCAAAATCTGATACATTACTTTGATTGTTAGAGATAACGTTGAGGAAACCCTCGGATCGATCAGTTAGGCGAATATCAATGCATCCACCTCAATTTTCCAATTACGCGAACACAAATTTAGTACGAAAATTGAAGAATTCTGAAATTACAAAAAATTTAGGGTTAGTTGAAATTGGGATTAAGGTTCTCAATTGCGAAAAATTAATATGCAATTTTATTATTCGCAGTTAAAATTGGTCAAATACATTACCTTGATTGTTAGAGATGACATTGAGAGAGACCTCGCCCCAATTGTGAGTTTCAAATGTTTTTGTTTTGGCGGGAATTGTTAGAGACTACGTAGTGAGTACAAGACTACAACAACTTACAAGCTTTTTTTTTTTTTTTTTTTTTTTTTTTTTTTTTTTTTTTTTGGGTGCAGATAAGGGGCTAGGCCGCGGGAAACTTACAAGAGGGGCTAGTGTTTACAGGTGGCTTTACACTAGTCATACTGATGTTCCTTGGTGCAATTGGATATGGAACAGATATAATATCCCTAAGCTTCGATTTGTTACTTGGATGGCTGCTTGGGGAAGACTCAGAACAAAGGAAAAGCTAAAATAGTATGGAATGGTGACTGATGATTTGTGTGCCTTATGTTCTGATGCTGCTGAAACTAATAAGCATCTGCTATTTGATTGTAATTACAGTCAAAGATTGATTTAGGGCCTATTCACTTCAGCTTAATTTTAGCTTAGTTCAGTTTCTAATTTCCTTCTTTCATAAACAATTCATTTCACTTCAGTTAAGTTCATTTCAGTTCAGCTCCAATCAGATCGGAACGGGCCTTTAGTGCTGCAGATTAAGTTGGGGTGTATGATGAATTTTATAAGTCTGCAGTCATGTAATGATTGGTGTTGGGGTGCTAGGAACAGATTCCAGAAAATGGTGTTCCAGAGCTTTTGTTCTACTTTGGTTTACTACATCTAGCAGCAACGAAATCTTGCAGTTTGGGAATCAAAGATTTTAAGACATGAAATTGTTGTAAATAGAATTTGTATTGATGTATATCATAGAGTTAGTAGTTTAGCTTGAAAGAAAGTTAAGGCTAGGGAGCTTAGTTGGTTAAAGGGCATTTATCTAGGGGCTTAGTAGCCTCATTGTAGTTGTTGTGTTTTTTTTGTGATTAATAAAATTTTGCCTTTCTCAAAAAAAAAAAAAAAAAAAAAAAAAGTATATCAAACTAGATGTTCGATTTTTTATACTTCCTCCGTTTATTTAATATTTTTGTGGAACTTACTAAAACAAAACAAGCTAAGTGGTGTAATATTCAAAAAATGAAGAAGGTATAACATTTTGTATCATTTTGCGATCTTAATATTTATACATTAAAGTTTCATTCACTTCTGTACCAAAACAAAAAAAAAAATACATTAAAGTTTCATTAAAATCCTTGGGAAAAAATTACTTTTATTTTGTACTTCCTCCGTATGTTTTTAATAAGTGTTACACTTCTTTTTTTTTTTTGGCAAAGAGCTACATTTTCATATTATATCCAGAGGGGGACCTTCCACCGAGGCCATTTGGGGCCCGGCCCTTGGTAAATTATTGTACGTAGTAATTAATTAGTTAATAAACTTAAATAACTTATTTTACTTATAAAATAGGAAAAATTCATGGGAATAATCCCACCTTTGAGCCGTTCGTTTTTAATAATCCCACTTTTGGATTATTTTTTAATAATCCCAACTTTACCCCCCATTCTTTTTTAATGGTCCCAACCGGTCATTTAACTTGCTATAGCAATTTACATGCCACGTGTCGCAATCTAATTTAATTGGCCTAAATATAAAAAAAAATTAAAAAAATTAAAAAAAATAATTAAAAAATTATACTTAACTAATTAAGAAACTACTTGTTTCATAAAAATAAAAAATAAAAATATAAAAAAAGTAAAAAAAAATAAAAAAAAAAGAAATATCCCACCAGCCCAACCACCCTCCACGGCTGCCCACCACCACCAGCCTTCCCTGCTGCCTGCCCACTGACAACAGAGGGCCACGCCGACTGCCCTCCCCCTTCCCATTGAACCGCCAACACCCTTTCCCATCCCTTGAACCACCAACCACCCCCTAAAATACGTTCACCGCCCCCTTATCCCTCCCTCCCTCCCCTTCCGCCGCCCCGTTTTTGACTCCCTCCCCTTCCCCTATCCCTTTTTCGGCCCCCTCCCCTTCCCCTCGCCCCAATTTTGGCCCCTTTGCCCTTCCCAGGCCTTGATTTCGGCCTCCTCTCCTTCCCATCCTTAATTTCGGAAATGAAATTGGTGGTTTAAGGCGATGGAAAGTGCCGGAATAAAGGTGGCGACCGGAGCGGGGCTAACAGTCGGTTTGGGACGACGGTCAGGGCGCGGCAATGCTGGGGGCTGGGACGACGGTCAGGGCGCGGCAATGCCAGGGGCTGGGACGACGATGGGGCAGGGAGGTGGCTGGTAGTGGTTTTAATTTTTAGTTTTTTTTTTTCATGAGAAAATTATTTAAAATAAGTAATTAATGTTAATTGCTAATTATCATTTCTTAAAACAAAATTAAAATTAAAACTTATTTTTTTGACCAATTACGTGGTGACACGTATAAAATAAACTTAAAAAAAATAAAAATTTACCTCTTCAACCGGTTACTGGTCACCCGGGACCATTAAAAAAGAATGGGGGGTAAAGGTGGGATTATTAAAAAATAATCCAAAGATGGGATTATTAAAAACGAACGGCGCAAAGGTGGGATTATTCCCATGAATTTTTCCTATAAAATATTGGAATATAGCGACTAGTTTAAAGCTAGAGGCAAAAGATTCAAATCCCGGCCCCTCTAATATTTTCGGTCAAGATCCGATATTCTTCTCTTTTTATGGTCCCCACCCAAACCCAATACTACTTTTAATTTTTTTTTTCTCTCTCGCATTCATTACTTTTCAATAAACTATTAACACCACTATCTTTCTTTACTTCCTTCATTGTATTCGTTGCAACTTTAGGATATTTTTGAGAGATATAAAAAATTCCAAAGTTGCAACTAATATGTATCGGAAAAAGTATAATGTTTTAATATTTCAACTACCCCACTTACCTCTTATTTTATTTAAGTCAATTAAATTGCTTAAAACTATGTGGCGGTCAAAGTGTAACACTTATTAAAACACGGAAGGAGTAAGTTATTTACAAAATAATAAGTTTGATTATTTTGACTTTTACTATCACTAAAAAGCACCACTTTGATTTTTGCTAAAATTTTATTTATTTTTACTATTAACTGCATCGTTATGGTCCGTTAGTGGTCACTTATTAATTTTTTTTCCTCGGTTTGCATGCCTAAAAAATGTGTCGTTAGGGTTTTATAGGACTCGAATTTGACAAAAATAAACATAAGTGTCTCGTTTTGTGTGCTAAAAAATGTACCGATTTGCATGCAACTATTCTTTTTGCCGCGAAAATTGCTCAGGTAAGGTTTAGGGATCATTTTATTTTTTAAGGTTCCAAATTAAGCTCACAAGTGACAAAAAATAACGTAAATGTTTTGTTTTACAAAATTTATAATTATGTTGTCAGAAATCATTTATGTCATTAACAACACCCACACCAAGCTCCAAAGGTTGTACTGTACTAATGTTCACCAATTCATGTCAAATTTGGAGAAAACCCTATAAAAAAGACAAACATTTAAAAAAATTGGATGTACAATAAAATATTGTACATCCGCTTCAAAGTTACCATAAAATGAACAAAAGTTATCCTACAATGAATGAAAGTTAGCTAATATATATAAGTTATCTTGATATAAATAAAAGTTATTTACGCTTTATGAATAAAAGTACCCTAAATTCAATGAAAGTTACCCTAAATTCAACAAAAGTTACCTCGACGTACAGTAATATAATATTACTGTACACAAAAGTTTTTGGTAAAAAAATTATAGTACATAAGGGCAGGGTGAATGAGATTTTTATTTTTTTAATAATTTAATTAATTATTGAAATATTCTCATTATATATGTTATTATAGTTATAAAGATAATAAATCTTTTATGTCTTATCATAGGTTCATGAGCACACATTAGAAAATTCTACAAATAACATAAGTTATGGAGTGCTTGTTTAGAAACATAAAAATCAACTTTCAAACATTTATTGTTTTGTGGCTTAAACTTTAATTCCAAGTCGACCAAGCATATGTGTTTGGGTCCAATTTACTCCAATTGGGCTGGTCCAAAAATGTTTTAATTACAAAGCCCAAAGCAAGGTTCAACCCTCCAATTAATTGCCAAGTCAGTCAAGGCCCAGTTAACGTGGCAAGCCCACTTGATTTAAGGTTCATTTATCTATTGAGCAAAAGTATAAAATCCTTCAATCTTCTCTCTCTACATTCATTCAATTCAAGCCTCAAGCAATTAATACTCTTGCATAACTTTCTCTCTCTAAACACTGTATTGACTTCGGCATCGGAGGGGCCTTCCTCGGCACAACCCCCGAGGCCAATTTACGTGTGTTTACTGTACAGGAAACCCTCGCCCCAGTTATTACTTGGACCGAGATCAGTGTTCCGCCCACAAGAAAGGACCTATCCGAAAGTCCTATTGTTTTCATCCGAAACAATATGAATACGGTCTTTACTTCAATTCTAAGTAGTTGAAACATAAGAATTTCTCATCTTAACATAAAATTTAAACTCATACGAGTCCTATCTTAAAATTTATGATATTACATTAAACTTGTATACACCGTACACATTGTTAATTATGACATCCTATGTGTCTTTCTTTTGCCAAATTTGAATCAACTTTTTTATTTACCAATACTATCATAAATAAACAAATTTTCATGACTAAAGATTAGAACTCCAAAATAGATCCAATTTTCATGGCTCGTCCTACACTAAAAGTCTACAGCTTAGAGTTACGAGCCCAGAGGTTTGAAATAATATAATGGGTTACGCATCCTGGCCCATAAAATTATAGAGATGCACCCTTATGGCAATATCTTTACTGAATAAATTAAAATCAAAATTGATGAATGTGATACAATTTTTTAACACAGTCTTTTGTACAGTTTGATTAAATTTTTTCTAATAAGCTATTTGGCCCTTTTTTTTTTTTTTTTTTTTTTTTTTTTTTTTTTCCTCTAAACCTATTTAGTCTATTATTTAGTATTTTTTTTGTAATAAAGTTTTTTTTTTTTATTTTTAGGTTCGAATAAGTTAAACTTAACATATTTTTATTGAAAAAAGCAACTAGAAGAAGAGATGGAGCCAGAAGGTCAATTTCAAATTATTGTTCATTTTTTGAAGCCTAAAAGTTGATGGATAGAGAACAATTTATTTAAATAAAAGTTAAAATCCAGTTTGCCATATAGCTGTGTTATTGCTTATGTTGCTTTCACACCAAAAGAAAAGAAACTGGCCACATTGTTCATATGGCCGATATGGATGCATGTTGGTTGTTGTTGGGTGATGCTTGTCTCTTCTATTTTCTCTACATTATGTATGTTGGATTCCTAAATTATTAGAATGTGACACTGAAAATAGATTCAATAAACTAATCTTTTTCTTCTATATAAATATCAAGATTGATCAAATCATTTCAATTGGTAGGGTATGGCTTCAAATAGAGTTGGACTTAAGGTTGTATTTTGAAAAAATCAATAAGTGTGCAACTTATTATGGAGAATTGAATGTGACAG